AAAAAAAAAAAATATTTTTTTTGGTTGCTGGCCAGTATGGGGATCCAAACCCTTGACCTTGGTGTAATCAGCATCATGCTCTAACCAAGTGAGCTAACCAGCCAGTCCTAATACTTTAACTTTTCTATATAGAAGACTTTCAAAGTCTCTACTCCAAACCAGGGCTCCAAGCTCAATAACTTTACATGTAGAAATTATAGAAATAGGCCCATCAAGAAAAGTCAAGATATTTAGTGAGCACATACATTTAATTTTTGGAAGGATGTTAGGGGAAGGTAAGCTCTTGTAGAGAAAATGCTCTGCAGTTAATCATTCAATTAAAAACATGATGTATTTCTTATTTGGTTACAAAAAAGAACTTATGAGCATCTTCTCTGGACAGATATGCTGGGCATACTGGAAGGAGGGTAAACAAGTTAGCTATTACAGTTATACAAGCTATGTTTATGCTATGCAACAAAATGCTCAAATGCAGGTGTGTTTAATCTTAAAACAAAATGAATAAATTTTGACTAAGATGTTTACAGTAAAATTTTGAGTGAGATCTTTACATTTCTTCAAATGTCAGGGAAATACAGTGAAAAGAAGAGAAGGTAAAAGGTTTTGAAACATACCCAATGCCTCCAGAGGTCTCTGCAGCTGAGTGCTGGGTGAGAATCTCCTCTCCACGACTGGCTACTGAGCGCAGCAGGCTCTTCTGCTCAGCCAATTCCTGTTCTAACTCCTGCTCAAGGGAAAGGACAAATGCAAATATCTCTCTTACTTTACGTTATTGTCTACAATCACGGTTCTACATCTAGAGAATTCTCAGGGAACTTTAGTAGCAAGTTTTTAAGTTTGTACACTGCATAAAAAGTGTGGTTTAAGTAAATATTCTAACGTGTCTCTAAAGAATTCTATTGCTTTGATAAAAGATATCTCTGAAAAATCTGGGAAAATAATGGGAAAATAAAATTGTTCTGGGCAATGGTGCCCTCAAGTGGTACAAAATGTACTTTCATTTTTCAAAATTATTGTCTTCTGCTTATTAGGGTAGATCCTTGAAAACAGCAGCTCTTTTTAAATCTCCACTTACTTATAAATTGAATTATCAATAGATCTGATTTTTCTTTTTCATTATTTCTAATAAATGCTTTTGCTCTTTGAGAAAATAAAATATTTCAATATACCTTTTATATAAGGTTAAGGTATCAATGAGCAATCATTCTTATCTATCAAAGCTCATTTCTTTCACTAGGCAACAATTTGCAATCTTATTTTGTGATGTTATCTACTTGAGTGAAAAACAAATGGGATTTACTTTAAAAAAAAATAATTCTGATTTTTACCAATTCCCAGAGGCCTTCCTGAGAATTTTATTCCAATAAAATAGACTCAAATGAAAGCAAATCTGAAGATACAGTAGATCTCTGTGATAAGGTAGATTATATTTGAGTCACTCTGTTTGTAAACATAAACATAGGCTTTTCTTAATGACTGGACTTTAAATTGACCAATCATTTTAGTGATTATGAGTAGGTACATTGAACGGTCAGCCACATCTTGCTGCATTCAAAGAGAAGATAAAGGTACTGTCTTTTTAGTACAGAAGTCACTTGTCCTTCCAAACCATTGCTCTCGGACTCTTTCCTTGGCAGATTTGGGGGGAAATTTGCAGAGGGATGAGAAATGCTTTACTTTTTGTTGCTGGAGACTGCTCTGCCGGTGGTGGGTCCGCGTGGAGCGAGCTTGGGCCAGCCATTCCTGGACACCTGGGCTCTGAGAGGCCGTTAGGTCAACATCTCTCTCCTCCTTCTCTTGTGCTGTTCCCTGCTTTTAATGAAGCAGAAATCAAGACTCATCCTACCCACAGGAAACCCTTAGCCAAATGGAGAGAAGGCTACTTTGGTGTGGTCTGCGTAATGATACCAAAGTGGCTCCATTTGGATACAAAGCC